GAATGTGTTGTAGACACTCTTGCAAATCGGGGGGGGGGGGGAGGAATCCAGTCCCAAAATGGATACTACTAGGGATAATTAATTGCAAATGCGACACACACACACACAAACACACACACACAGGATGCTTATTACTATAGCCTTGCTTATGTTGTGGGTCCTCTTTCTGACCCAGTGGTATTCTTGGATATAAAAATGATCTTAGAGACTAATATTTGTTTTCCATCATATACATGGAAAGGAGTTCACATTAACAGAAATGAGGTTTCTACATTTCCCCCCTTCTCATTTGCAGATGCAAACAAATTTCAAGTTTGTGGGGATTGTTATATATTTTACTAGACCTCTGAGATCCATTATCCAGAACAAAATCAAATAGGCAGGCAGCTATACACTAACAGGAATTTGTGATCACTATAGAATCAACTCATGGTCCTTCTGCACAAAACAACTCCTCCTTCAAATACTCCTTCACAATACAGTATCTGAATTGTTAGAATTCTATTTTAGCATTTTTATTCTTACAGAATTAGGAATCAGAAATCCTATTGTGCCGCAAATCACCAAGACACCTACCAATAGATGTCAGTCTACTACAGGTCCATTCCTGAAATATAACATGCCATTAAAAAGAACCATTTATGTTGTTATGTCATTCACAAAATACTGTGATTCCTTTAGCCATTATGATATCAAAGGCAAGTAAGAAGGAGCTAACTAGAATTAACAATACAGGAAGCTGCCTTATACTGAGCTAGACCTCTGATCCATGTACCCCAATATTATTAGAACAGACTGTATTCATAATATTAGCACAATGACTTAGTTTTGTCATTTGACTAAGCCAATTGCTTAGTTTTGTAAAATACAAAAAATTGTAAACCAACTGCACTAGGTTTACAAACCTAGGTAGCCACAAACTAGTTAATCACATTTCACCCAATCTGTTGTGTATACCCAGCCACTGTATGGCAACAACTCTCCAGGATTTTCAACTGGAATCTTTCCAGGTTCTACTTGGAGATGCTGACAACTGAACTTGGAACATGCAAAGCAGATGTTCAACACTGAGCTAACAGTGTGGAGGGCAGAAGAAAACATACTTACCAAGTAAATAGCTTTCGATAAGGGAAAATGGGTAAGTCAGTTGGAGCCAGTCAGATGAGGGGTGAGAAGAATAAGCAGATTTTGCCAAAATAAGCATCAAGTAATGGCTATTTAAGATATACCAGAATGTAGAAGAAATGGTCAAATTCAGGAGGCGGGCCTTCTCTGCTGTGGCACCCGCCTTGTGGAACCTTCTTGCCCTGGAAGTAAGATTAGCTCCATCCCTCTTAACATTCTGTAAGTCCCTCGAGACCTGGTTATGTGATCAGGCCTGGGGCGACCAGGCGACCAGGGAGATTTTACAATGGCTCCCTTATTACTTTTATTCCCTCCTGTTTTGTGTGTTTTTACAGTTTTTTTATATGTAGTTGTTTTTATGTATTTATTTTTTAATTGTTGTACGCCGCCCAGAGTCACCTTGTGTGAGATGGACGGCTATATAAATATGATAGATAGATAGATAGATAGATAGGCAGGCAGTCAGGCAGGCAGGCAGGCAGGCAGGCAGGCAGGCAGGCAGGCAGGCAGGCAGGCAGGCAGGCAGGCAGGCAGGCAGGCAGGCAGGCAGGCAGGCAGGCAGGCAGGCAGGCAGGCAGGCAGGCAGGCAGGCAGGCAGGCAGGCAGGCAGGCAGGCAGGCAGGCAGGCAGGCAGGCAGGCAGGCAGGCAGGCAGATGTATAGCCTATTGGGAAACTAGAAGTGCTAAGAATGAGAGTTCCAGAAGAGTAGATATGTGTTTTTGAACACTTGCCCAGGAAACCTGTTGCCCCCATTTTGCAAAAAAAAAATGGGGAATTGTATCCATTAATATTAGGAATGACGTGGGACTTTACTTCTCATGCAGCATAAATACTGGATTGCACTGAAGCTCCATTTGCATAGAAGTTATTACTAGTTTGCTAGTTGCTACTAGTTGTTCCTGATTTTCCTGAAGACAAAAGTAGCTTGAGATAAGCTTTTATATTTCTACATGCTTCCTTCATTCTCTCTCCAACCCCTCTGCTATAACTTGTTCTTAACCTTGAGTTAAAATCAAAAGCTAATCTTTTAATGAACTTCAAATCCATATTTATTCAGTGCAAAGAGTCAACCTAAGTCAGTTGCCATACTGCATCTAACACCTAATAAAACAAGAGAAAGATGGTCTCAATCATATGTGTACCAGTAATCAACGATAAACTAGAGCTCCTGGAGTTGACAAAGTTCTAGGAACAATTGTGTAGAGACAGATGAAACTACTCTTCATGAAGCAAATTGTATTAATATATACTTCCTTACTCAGCAAATCATGTAAGAACTAAAGGAGATTAATACTATTGTCGTTGGCTTGAATTCCTGAAACTCTCAAGCACGCATCGGCTTTCTTTGTACATAAGCAATTAATGTGATATTATTTGTGTCAAATCACAGCAATACAGAAGCAATAAAAAACAATGAAAGGAGGGCCAAAAGAAACTACACTTTTATCAGTTGCATCTTTTAGTTTTAATGTTTCAGTGGTGGCTTCCAATTTGGAAACCTTTTATACCTGCAAACTACTTATTCAATCTTGTTTGCAACGTAGATTTTTGGCTCATTTTAGTGTCTTACCCTCAGCAGTATTAGATGGGAGGCACAGTAGGACTCCATTTACTAAATGATGTTGTACTTGTGGTCAGAATGAACCTGAGACCATTGCATGTATTTTTCCACTGCCCTTTCTATGCTAATTTACATGCAGACGGACCTTTAGCACCTCCTAACAAAAACCAAATCTGTAATGAGGGAGAGCTGGTTACTTTCTCATTTGCAAATTGGAACCCCACCATCACCAACTGAGTTGCCAAGTTTCTATCTGTAGCAATTTTGATAAAAAGGCCTAAAATGAAATAATATTGGAATATTGACATTATGAGGTTTTTTCCCCTTTTTATTTTATATACCTTTAGTTTATTCTATTTCAAGTTTATTTTATTTTTTTATATTGTTTCATTGTATCTTGTCCAACTTTTCCTTTTTTCCCCATTTTTTAAGTCTTTACTTTTAGGTTTTATATGACCAATACACTGCTTTTGTTCAATCTGGTCATTGTTTCTGTATTTTCACCTTGCTGGCCACTGATCATAATTAAATAGATTTGATTTGATTTAGTTTAGTTTTAATGTGTGGATTTTATTTAGCCACTGAAACACATTTCCAATTGTCTTTGATATCTGCTTGGAATCAGTTGAACTCTTGCATAGGTTCTATCCCACAATGGCCATTTGATGTGGACAATTCCAGAAAACTTGCTAACATGAATTCACATTATTGACTCTGATGCTTTCCAGACCTTTTTTTCCTCAGTTTAGTGTTGTTTTAGTCCAAGGCTCTCCAGATACTTTGAATTGCAATTCCAATCATTATAATTTGCCATATTGTCTAGGAGCAATGTAAGTTGGGAGTCCTTCTATTTCTCCCTGATGTGATATTTTTTGGAATTGCCATATCACATGGCATGATTGTTCCAAACTGATAGAACTATTCCAAATATAGAAAGTATACACTATTCCAAATATAGAAAGAGTACAGATTTAAATACTGTTCCTTTTTAAAATATTACTTTGAAAATCTTGAATAGAGCATTTGACATGTTCTCTTTCGCTATATACTGAGTAGAAATGTTTCACTGAACTAATCACCATAACCTCAAAATGTTTTTCCTGATTACTTACTACATAAGATCCTGTAAATATATTGTAAAGTTAGCTTTTCTTTTTGTACATGATACTAGCCTCAAGCCAAGGTTAAAAATCACCCTCCCAACTGAACAAAAGAGATTGCAGATCTGGTTTTATATTTTACTCTATCTTTCAATTTCTACAGCAGAAATTTCTATAACCTAGGAATTGGCATTGCTTCAAATATCCTGCCTAAAATTTAATCTTGACTCTTCACCTGAGGCAGAATTGTCTAATTTCCCCCCCCCAGGATTTTAATACTATCTGTCAATCAGAATACTTAAATTAATCACTAAATTATTACCTGGAAGAAATGGGATGATTCTCTGTTTGGGATCTTTTTGGCCTCCTTCAATAGGGAATTTATCCAAAAGCTGCATCTGCAAAAGAAATATTTACTATGAACCATAATTTACCATACTCTTTCCCCAAAGCCACCTCAGCTTCAGCATGGCCTGTTTTTGATTATAACAGACACACACACACACACACAAAGATACAGGAGCAGCTGTGAATAAGAACAGATTTTTTTTTTTTAATGTAACCCATGAAGACAGTCCATGTTCCCAAGAGGCCAAGGTGAGTTACATCAGAGTTGGTATAGAATTAAAGTCTGGCCTTCCAACGATTCTTGTATTAGACATTTTCTACTTCATGGAACACATGAATACATGATTTGACCTTAGTCCATGTTCTGTATAACAATCCAGTTTGGTTCACCTATAATTTAAGACAGACCACCCACCTAGTGAGAACTGCTGCCCCAGAACCACCAGAGAGGTTATTTCAGTGAAGCAACAAATATAGTTGTTGGCAGACTTTCCTTATCCCACACATGACAGTGCTTCTCCATGTATCTTGGAGAGACATATATGGAACAGAAAAGTTGCTTAGGGGTCTGGAAATACTCAGTTACTGGAATCCCTGGAACTTTGTTGGAACAAAATGTGTTCTTATAAAGTTGAAGGTTGTATCAACCTTTCTGAAAGACTCTCCCTTTCCTGCTGACCACACACTGCCTGCATGCTTAACTCAGTGTGTGGTCATAGCAAATGATATACAGTGGATACATAATATATAGAACATTTGGCCAAGATTTTTAATCACAGGATGGATAAATGTTGAATCTATAGAAGTCTTATAAGTTAGGCAACCCTCCAAAACAAAAAACAAATTCTCACAACAGTAAAATTCAAATGAAATTTTCAGTGACTTGCTTTTTTACTGAAGCACCACAATAAACCTAACACTGTAACAACAAAATTGCTAGAAATACATAAATCTAGTACATACATGTGTGGTCACATTTGTGCATCTAAGAATAAATTTTAACATGTGGGGATATAAAAACCCCCAGTTTGGAAAATCTAGAAATTGGAATGGCTGTAGGATGCTATGGGCATGTCCACACGAGGATTCTGAACCAGCTGTAAAGCAGCTCTTCTGGATTCTTCTTCATTTTCACAAAGTCAGCAGTGTTAAAGAGCTAAACTGATTTATTTCCATTTCAGCTGTGGGGTACTTGGGTTGCTGGGTTTTTGTGAGATGTGGAGAGGTGGGGGGAGTTGTAAAAATCAATAACAAAATTAATCTGCATTACAGCCTCCAAGTATAGAGTGAGGAAAGGCTAATCCTTAACCTAATGTGTTTGTTTTCAAAACGTTTTGGCTGTGCCCATACACCGTTAAAAAAAATCAAAGAAGGAACAGTGAAGAGGCCATTAGAGCAGCTCTGCTACATATCTGTACCTTGCACCTTATGCACCTGTACCTGAAGTACTATTGATTGCATAACCATAATGTAACCATTAGTCCAAGATCAGCCAACATGCCAGACTGGTAAAAGCAAGTTAGCCCATAGCAAGCCTTGATTACAAACAACAATTTGAATGTCATATTAAGCCATACTCACACTGGGTTCCCAAAACATGCTTAACCTGGTTGCCGAATTAATGTATTGTTTATGGCAACACAATATATTGAATCATAAATTAACTAAATGGGCTGGATTCACACAACATGCTAAACCAGAAAAAAACCTAATTAAGGTTAAAAGTACCGTATTTTTCCGACTATAAGATGATACTTTTTTCTAAAATCCTTACCCTAAAAACTAAAGGGCGTCTTATTCAAGGAAGTCAGCT